TGCAGACAGATAACTACATCCACAAACATCCACACACCTGGATAACATACGTCCACAAATCCTCGTGTACTCAGCTGTTTTAAGCTCTACACATCTACATCTCTACACACCCAGGCATACATACATCTAAAAACAAATGCAGACAGATAACTACATCCACAAACATCCACACACCTGGATAACACACGTCTACAAATCCTCGTGTACTCAGCTGTCTTAAGCTCTACACATCTACATCAGTAATTACCTCTGTCTTCCACTCAGCAGTCTTACCTGCGGACACCTTCCCTTTAAAAAAGCTCCAAACACACAAATGCACGTCCCTGCGAAGTATCCAGCGAACGACTTGTCTCGCAACGAGTTCTCCTACTTCCAGCAAACACCTGGCGAAGCTAACCTCGACATCGACAATGTTCCACGGTTGGAAGGAGCCGTACCGAGGGACATTCGGTCGCCACCCAACCGGTATGTGGGATCGTTCGGCGCACGTGTTTAAAATGTCACAAGGAAAACGTCGGTTCGTCTACCGCGTAAAATTTCATCGCGGTTACTTTACTGTCGCCGTTGGACACATTTCACTCGGTCGTGGTCGCTTTTAAATTTCCGTCGGCGATAACCATCAGCGGTCGACGGGTCCGCCGTTGGAAAAACACTCGGGTGTATTTTCCATTACCGGCGAAACTGACGGCTTTCAAAATAGCGCGGGACAATGGCACACCTGCGCGCGCCGTTGCGCAACAATCGCTGAAAATTTATCCTCGATAAGAGAAACCCGCGGTGCGAAGCAGATTCTATTAGGCTGCACCGAAAGTTTCTTTCGTTTTATCGGCGAGTAATGTATGGGGAACGTTTTATGTTCTGTGTCGTATTATCGAATGTGGTTTATTCTGTTCCATTACCTTGTTCCATTTCGAAGGAAGTGGGTGTCTTTTCGAAAATTGTGCGGTTTAGTATACTGGGCGTGAAGGGAATACAAACGTGTACAAATCTAAGCATACAAACATTTACAGACTTAAAAATAGGGACTTTTACAGACCTAGGCATACAAACATCTACATATCTATAAATAGGGACTTTACAGACCTAGGCATACAAACATCTACAGACCTAAGAATACAGACAGGTGAGCGTTTTTCGTGTCTCCGTTGGTACGAAAATTGTGACGTAAATTCGGTCGGACTTAAGGTCATCAACGCGGGAGCGTGGGAGTACTTTCACCTCGGCGCAAACATTATTACGGGCGAGGGAATAAAAAACACGGGACATAATACCGAAAGCACAGAAGAGCGTCGAACCGGCTATTAAAATTCCAAACGTTGACAAATTATCTCGCGCTGCCCGCGGACCGATACGCCTTGCGTTCCACGGCTGCATTAATCACAATTATCCAATTTATTCTTCCGTCCCGACCCCATTACGAGGGACCATAGACGCGCTGTCTTCCATGTAAGGGGATGATCCCAGAGATCTGCTTCGGGCGTCGCGCATCGCGATTGCAATCTGTATCGAAGAGGACCAGATGGAACTGCGCGAAGACCGTCACCGAGATCACGGGGGAAGGAACAGGCAAAACATTATCTAAGTCTAGATGTCTCTGCTTACAGGTACCCAAGACTCCTATGCGACCAGTCTGCATGCCTAGGTTTGAAGATGTTTCTATACCCAGAATTTAAGTCTTCGTGTCTTCATAACTTAGTATCAAAGTTGTAAGTACCCAAGTGCCTAAACAGCTATGCGTTCAATCTACATGCCTAGGTTTGAAGATGTTTGTATACTCAGAACTTAAGTCTTCAAGTGTCTTTTACAAACCTAATACCTAAATCTAGATGTCTCTGCTTGCAGGTACCCAAGTGTCTAAACAGCTAAGCGTTCAATCTACATGCCTAGGTTTGAAGATGTTTGTATACTCAGAACTTAAGTCTTCAAGTGTCTTTTACAAACCTAATACCTAAATCTAGATGTCTCTGCTTGCAGGTATCCAAGTGCCTAGACACCTACGCGTTTAATCTACATGTCTAGGTTTGAAGATGTTTGTATGCCCAGAACTTCAAATGTCTTTATAACC